TTAGCGACAAAGAGAGGGCCATCGGTGAATCAAATTGGCGGCCCCGGCCGAAACGGCCCCCGAGTTCGTCTCAGACCGCGTAATTAATCGCGCCATGTGCGCAAATCAATGACCCCACCTGGCCATAAGCGAGACTCGACGCATCGTGACCGAACGAGGGTGAAACAACAACAGAAAAAAATAATAACGAACCCATGTGGGCACGGACCACAGAACACACGGGCACGGGTCATCATCGTTGTACATTATAATTGCTATTTGTTCGTAGGAGAATGAGAGAGTCAAAGTTACAAATTTATGGAAATAATTGGAAATCTTGGAAAAACTTTGTAAATCCATACAGGGTAATTCTCAACGTATACGCATAAACTTGGGGAATTATCCCTCATGACAAATAATGAGTAATAGGTGAAAAAAATTGTAGCAAAAGTTTTTTAGTTTCCTAGGTATCCATGAAATTTACTTTCAAATCAAGAATACATATAAGATTTTAAAATGACATGAATGTAAGTGTTCCAAGTTGTTTCCAATTTTTTCGTGACGTGAGCAAACGATACACTTAAATGTATGTAAACATTTTTTTGCAGAAGATGAAATAAGTATGGTAGTACCTACCAGTTCTAAACAGATGAGATCGTTTGGTGCTGCTGTGTCAGATGATTTCTGGAAGCAAAGACTGTACGCTTTGAAGATGATATGATAGCGATGATATGGTGGGTTGTCGGCAGCAATTTGTATCTGATTTTGCAATCCTTGCTCAGTATTAACTTCGAGAGACTGAGATTGATGCCGGGCGATCGAGATGGCCAGTCCTATGAGTTACCTCGACTTGTCCATCTTCCGGGAACTACCTCATCTAGATATCCCCGGATATAACTATAAAACTAAAAATCTTTTACTACTACTTTTTTCACCTATTACCCATTATTTGTCTCGAGGAATAAATCCCCAAGTTTATGCGTATAGGTTGCGAATCTCCCTGTATACGTTCTTAAAAATTTATTCCAAAACATCTAGAAACTGTTTTTCGTTCCGAAATTATCTTATTTCAGACAATGAAAACTTTTTTTATACTTTTGAGTGCATGTTGTTGTATCGCTAAGTGGATGATTTTAAGTTTGGCCGGTTGTTTCCGTTAATTGCAACAGATTTGGCAGTTGCTTGGAAGTAAGGAAAAGAAGGTTTCACCGTATTAACAAGGAGAATAATTTATGTATCTTTAACTGGTGAAGAAACTGGTTCATTTCTGTAAAAATGCGAAAGTCACGGGAACGGTCATTTCGCCAAAGGATATAAATATAAATACGGCTGAAGGGAATTGTTTTCGAAAAGACACGTAACAATTATCGCGAAGCCAATCTCCTCTATTTTTGTAATTATTATTGACAGCCGACGCCCGGGTACGATTTTTCTTTGTCCGTATGCGGCTTGCGCCAAGATAAGAGATCTGTTTTAGTTGGTTAAATTGCGGGGAAGTCGGGAAGTTTGCGCGTCGCTCCCCCGCCTCGCTTAACCTATTTAAGGCAATTTCGATAATTTCGCAAAACACGCGAGTTTCTTGACAAGACGAACACCGGAGGGCGGTCTACGACCTGGTGGGCTCCGTAATCTAATTGACACATTACCTTATTTCTTAAACGGGATCGTTTAAATCAAATCGTTTCGCCGAAAACAGCTGAAAAAAACCCACTCGAAAAAACAATCTCTTTGATTATTAATAATTTTCTTTCGTCCAGATCTCTTTCACTATTAGTTAATTATATAAATTAAAAGAATTTTATATTCAAAAAAAATTTGAATGAATTAAACGAATTGAATTTATCTGAATGTTGAGTAATTTTCGTATGTGGTTTAATTGATCCACGCCTACCATTTAAACAGAGGTAGTTAAACACCTGTCCTTTATTCAACGGTTTGAAAGAGCAAGTGTGCACATTCTGAACACGTCAGAAGCCGGTGCAATAAATATCCCGCGATACAAAAATAATTAAAGTGCTTTCTTAATTCCCTATACAATATTCATTAGTTCAAATGGAGACGCCACCTTAACTTGTGGGAACTTCCGTTCGAAAAGAACTTATTTGCTTCATCAGTTCGCGTTTCCCACATATTCTTGGTGGTTACCTCGTGGACACGTGCATTTCAAGTTATGTCGAACAGTAAACATTGTACGGGCAGTAAATGGTGAATATATAGATATACGGGACGATAAAACCTATTTCTCAATTATTCAATTTTCAGTTTTTTTTATTAGGGAAGAAACATTCGTTTTCTTTCACACGTTTATCATAATCGATCTTTAATATGGTTTTTTAATCTACCCTAAAGACATTTATAAGACTTTTATAACCTACATAAATATTTATCAATTTTATTTAGGTATTATTCAAATTCGATCAGGAAACTAATTAGTCGTCACTCGAAAACCCGGACGTCAAACGAATCAAAAGACAACACGGTCTGACCAATTCAATAAAAATTCCACACTTTCGCTTTTTTGTCCGTACGTCTCAGGTAGAGGGAGCCGACAAAATCGGACTAATGAAGAGAGAAAGGTGGCCGATAATATCTACCGATCTACCCTTTTGAGCGAAAGGGAAAAGGCTTGGACAAGGGTTAGTGTTAACCAAAATGTTTTTAAAATACACCTGTACCACCTTTCAAACCTTGTACATCAATCAGATTTGTCTACTATCTTAAAAAATAAATATAGCAATTATTAACTCATTAGGTAAATTTGTAGCAGAGATTAATAATATAGTGATGAAGAATTGAAACTCTAAAAATTCAAAAAAACTCCAAAAATCGATTTTTAAAAACATCTTTTTAATTTTTTTTACATATTATAAAAGAATGTATCGACTTTTTAGTGAAAAAGACCGTTTTTAAAAATATCATTTAGTTCTTGAGATATTACGTTTTGAACTTTATAAAAGACAATTGATAAATATTTTCTTTCGCTGGTTTTCAAAAAATCGATTTTTTAAAGAATCCTTCTAAATTTATTTACAAATTATAAAAGAAACTATGTGCTATTTAATGCAAATCTCCGTTTTGAAAAATATCTTTAGTTCTTGAGATATTTTGTTTTGAAATTTATACAAAAATCTTGATAAGAATTTTTTGCTTACTTTTTAAAAAATCGCCAAAAATCGAATTTTTAAACAATCCGTTTGATTTTTTTAAGTATTATAAAGAAATGAATTGGCTTTTTAATGCAACATGCCGTTTTTAAAAATATCTTTTAGTTCTTGAGATATTATGTTTCGAACAGAGAATATTTACGAAGAAGAACAATGATTTACCAATCGAAACGGTCATCATCAACCGATTAAGAGGTCCATTAACACAGTGCTTGGCAAAGAATTGAATTACGCAGTCGCTCTGAAGAGGATCCCCAAAAGAGGAAATTAACTGCAAAGTAGAAGCAGCTATTTGCAGAACGTCTGCAATCAAAGTGGAAGAAAACTGACAAGATATTGCGAGAGTGCTTAAATCAACGAAGTCACTGAAATCAAATCCGACTATTAATGATAGAAGAACACTACGACCAGAGAAAAGAAATACTACTGTAGTTATGAAGAAAAAAGAATACAACAACAAGATGACCCGTCTTTTGGTTCCAACCACTTACAAGAACATCAAGAAGAACCTAATCAAGATCAACAGATAAGTTTGTTTGTACAGGACCTGTACCACCAAGAATTTATGGATTACCTAAAATCTATAAACCAGACGTCCTATTTAATTGTCCAACGTATTAGTTAGAAAAGCACCTTGATACGATGCTGTTTCCTTTTGTTACATTTTGTCGAATCAATCAAAAGTATAAAGTCAGATCCCTAGAATGTCTGGTAAGTTTTTTGATCTGGATTCTCTATACACCAGTCAAAGACGCCGTGGATGGTTTTCACCAGAAACTTATTTTGTATGTTCCAGGGTGAATGCAAAACTGTTTATCGCCATGGGTTCACCTTTGTCACTGGTAATCACCAATTTCTACATGGAGATATTTGACGAAGAAGCGTTAAGGAAGAGTCCATGGACACCAAAAATATGGAGATCTGGTAGCATAGAAAAGAGCATCTCCAGGATCTATATACTCCAGAAAATCGTCTAGTCTATACTATGACGGATATTCATGGATCCATCAAACGATACAAGAAGAAGGAAGACATGGTAAGTATCAAAATGGACTCATTTTTTGAGGACCGTCATTCGATGCCTCCAAAGCAATATCAAAAGAGCGACTATCTCGCACCTTGAAAGGCATACATTGGTGATTTCCTAATATAACTATATTTTAAAAGGTAATGTATCGATTAAAATATTTCCAAGTAAAATAAATTTTAATAAAATGCAATCCACGTAGAAAGAATTAAAACCAACCCTGTTTAGAGATTCTACAAAAAGTAGCAGAACAAAACCGCCATTCTGTCGATATCTACAAAAAGAGCCTATAAAACGAGTAAAGTAAACGTTCGCAGTTTAATCAAACGAGTAACTACTACAAAACGGAAAAGACGTGCCGTTTAAAAAAACGAACAAATACCGCGGAATTCGATTAAACTCGGGACGAAGAACCAATAAACAAGAGCTTTTAATCGTTCGTTGGTGATCTTATAAAGATCTGGGCGGGAGATAGGAGTTGAAACTCGAGCGGTACTTTACCGACAAATTACGTGAAAGCTCTCCCGGTAAAGCTGCGTCGTAAACCGCCTTCGATGTAGTGCAGCGGTAGCGGTAAAGCTTTAGGTAGCGAAACCAATCCGGACGTTTTACTCTCGAAAAGTACGTCCCTAAGGAAGGAGAACGACCAATCGAGTTGGCTTGCAGGTGAAAAGTAGGTGGACGTCGGATTCACAACCGCGCACGTGCCACGCGTTTACCTGTGTATGTGTGTGTGTGTGTATACCTGGGCTACCTGTACTGTGTGCTCTCCAAACTTTAACTTTCCTTGGTGGGGTTTCAGAACCAGCTATGCATATACCTGAACGCGTGTTCTTGCATGGACTCAGTCAGGTGCGACTGCCCTACGTGCTTACATGACTCTGTGGTTGGCCGCGTCCCTACATTTCTTAACGTCTATGAAACTTGATAACTTTCTTTTTGAAGAAAAATAAAATTCTGATATCTTACAATTATTCGCTGTGATGAACTGTGCCTGAAACAAAAACCTATCGCGTTATGTTGTGACCTGTAATTATTTTATAAAGAAGCAAGAAGGACCGCATCGTTATTTTTTTCTTGAGTGCCTTTACCAGTGTTGTGGAAGATCAACTTTGAAGAAGTTCGCCTCCGTAGAAGGTAAGCTATCCCATTGTTTCTCATTTATAGAAATAAAGGAAGGAATGTACTCGGTTTCCGAAAGCACTTTTCGATCAAGGTTGTTACGCGACCATTATTCTCTATTTTCGGGTAATCGGAACGGGACGTGTTATCATATTTGCGTAACTCGGTCAAAAAGTAGGATCGATTTCCATAATATAATGTAGTAGGTATTTATAAAGTATCATTGTATTCATTCACACTCGGTCAAATTGAGGGAGAAGACCGGGGAAATGCTAAATAAACATTGTTTGCATACATGCGGGGCCCAGTAAGGTCAATGTTGAAATTTACTTAATTTTGAAGGATTTTTCAGCGTAGACAAGTTATTTTCTATTGTGTGTCTAAGCATTTCATTTGCATACAACACTTTCGATTTCATTCCCACAACATTCTTTTTATAATTTAAACATTAAAGATTAATTATTTATTTTAAATCAACTCAAAGAATCAAAATTTTATTCATTCTGAGATATGCTTCATCATGTTAAGTTTTTGAGATATATCGTTTATAAAAGTGTTATTATCAAATGCAAAATTCTTAAAAATTTTTATACGTTCATATTCTAATTGAAATTTGTGTGATTGAACAAAATCAAATTGGGTTGTGTTTTTCTCTTGTACTTTACTATTACAAGATAATTAATAGCTAGTGCAAAAACGGAAGTAGTTCTCGGGTTATATCTAGATCCAAGTGATGAAAAAAATTGTTAAAATACTCTGGAATATATAAATTATGTAAAATTGACTCATAAGCAACTTTTTAAGCACATTTGTTTAATCTAAATCGATTATTTTTAAAAAGCGCCACCTATAACAAAATTATAATCATAAAATATTTCCATATTTATATTCTAAAGAAAAATACCTTTAATTTAAGTCCAAACTCGATGTGTTTATTTTAAAAACGAACAAAGTGACCGATAAATGTCATTATTGTTAGGCGCCATCTTGAATTTTTATAATATTTATTATAACCTAACTGAGTGAAGTGTCAAATTAAAGGATTTTTAATGGATGTTAAGAAAATATTTAGTGTCAATTTATAAATTTCATATCACATACCCTAAATCAATTATTTTTAAAAAACGACATTTTTAATTGAAATGTTATCAAAAAAATGACTTTTTATATATATTCTGTAGAAAGAGATCTTTAATTTAAGTCCAAACTCGCCGTATTTATCTCAAAAACGAATAAAACAATTGATAAATGTCATTATTGTCAGACGCCATCTTGAATTTTTCCTAAAATCATTATAACCTAACCGAGTGACGTATCAAATTAAAGCATTTTTTATGAATATTATGAAAACAATAACCATTATTTCGAAAAGGGCATACAACAAAACCTAAATCCTTGTAGTTCAAACACATTTTGGAATTTTACCTTTGTTGTTACCGAACCTAATTGCCTAGCAACACCTAGCAACGATAATTTAGAATTTTATCAAATACCATTGGAAAACTTAAATGTAATAAATCAATCAAAATGTCTCAATAAATCTTAAAAAATCGTTATGAACACAATGACTAATAAAATGACTGTGTTAAAAAGCATCACAATGAATTCATTTAAATTGTTAAATAGGTGCGAATAAAATTTGCAATCAAAACTAGAAAAGTAAATGTAATGATTAAGCCACACATAAAGATGTCCACCTTGATTATAATTCTCTAAGGAGAAGGGAAAAAAAGATTTTCTCAACGAGATCTTCATTACCTCAATTAACATGGTGGTGTTCACAAATCTTGTGCCAAAAAGGAATCTGACCGCACTCGTTTTCGCACATGACATTCTTTCTAATAGTCTTTGCTCACCTTGATTTACATTGAATCGCTTTGGCAAGCTCATTGCCGTGCGCGAAAAAGGCAGGATAATCACTTCGCAGCATCTCAGATTGGCCTGATTGCTTCATAACGGTACATTTTATCACCTGCCGTATTCAAATATAGCATAACCATACATTCCACCGTCGCACACGTTTTTTTTTCTTCATTATGGCGCGGTGTTCCATTGAAAAGGTCCAACATCGTTAATCTCGTATTTAAACCGTCGCCGAGGATACATTGAAAAGTCGGATATAGTCGTTTCTTTTTATTTTAACGTCTTTGACATAAATTTATACCAACAAGTAAATTTTTTTATTTTTTTCATTTATTTCGTTTTGTTTGATATCCCAAAAATACTTACAATATTAATGTAATGCATTACCACCCTTAATGGACGTAAAATGATTTCGTCTGCTCGGTTTTGATCGTATACACAGAAAACCACAAAACGTCGCGATCGTTATCGTTTGTGTGGAGACAATCACGGGAATCGATTCACGAAATTGTCGCATGTCCTGAAACCTTTTAGAGGTGGACGTAAACAGCATTAAAAGTCCATCCCGATGGACTGACCATTGATTTCTAATGTACCCTAATGTACCCTACATGTGTACATTAAGATTTTCGTGTACACGAAGTAGGATCTATTGCATTTAAATATAATATTGATACAGAAAAGTACAACAATAACATTTCTTGTTTATGATAACACAATTAAAAAACGTACTTTGTTGGGTTGGATTAAGAAGAGTTCAATTAGGTTGCGTTGGGGTTCTAAAACATGTGTTTTCTACAAATTTTATCATTAACACAATTTTTTTATATCATATCTTAAAATACCGTCTTTTACCTACAATTTGTGATATAAACTCGTTTCTGAACGCCAAGAAATAAAGTCAAGGCGATTTTTTTAAATATTGACTTTACGAACATAACCTAATTCAACTTAATTCCTTTTGAACAACTTTTCTCTACAAACTTTTATTATTAACACATCAATTTTTGAATCATATCATGAAATATCATCCTTTATCTTCAATTTGTGATATAAATCACTTCTTAATTCCAACAAATCAAGTCAAGAAGATTTTTTTAATTTTAGCATATTCGAGTGTGACATAACCCAAGTTGCTTTAAGAACTTTTTCTATAAATTTTTATTATTAACACAACGATTTTAATACCACATCTTAAAATGTAACATTTTAGCTTCAATTTGTGATATAAATCATTTCGTAACTCCAAAAAATAAAGTTAATACGATTTTTTTTAATTTAGACTTTTTCTAACATAACCTAATTCAAGTTAATTTACTTTGAAGAACTTTTCTCTACAAACTTTTATTATTAATGTATCAATTTTTACATCATATCATGAAATACCAACCTTTATCTTCAATTTGTGATATAAATCATTTCTTAACTCCAAAAAATAAAGTTAATACGATTTTCTTTAAATTTTGACGTTTTCCAACATAACCTAATTCAAGTTAATTCATTTTGAAGAAGTTTTCTCTACAAACTTTTATTATTAACATATCAATTTTTAAATCATATCATGAAATATCATCCTTTATCTTCAATTTGTGATATAAATCACTTCTTAATTCCAACAAATCAAGTCAAGAAGATTTTTTTAATTTTAGCATATTCGAGTGTGACATAACCCAAGTTGCTTTAAGAACGTTTTCTCTACAAACTTTTATTATTAACATATCAATTTTTAAATCATATCATGAAATATCATCCTTTATCTTCAATTTGTGATATAAATCACTTCATAATTCCAAGAAATAAAGTCAAGGCGATTTTTTTAATTTTGACATGTTCAAGTGTGACTTAACCCAACTTTTTTTTTTAAGAACTTTTTCTATAAATTTTTATTATTATCACAACGATTTTAATACCACATCTTAAAATATAACATTTTAGCTTCAATTTGTGATATAAATCGTTTCTTAACTCGAAAAAATAAAGTTTATTTTAATGTTTTCGAACATAACCTAAATCAATTCCTTCCTTTTGTAGAAGTTTTTTCCAAAAAATTTTAATATTAACACATTACTTTTTAAATCATAACCAAGAAATAACATCTTTTGTGTTCAATTTGCGGTCTAATGGATCAATTGCAGTTTAATACAATCATACAGAAAAGGTTACATAAAAGTTAAATAACATTTCCTATTTGTGAACAAAAGATTTATTCAAAATCGAGTTTAATAGAGTGTTTCTTTTGAGATATTCGCATTGAGTAATGATGACTTTCACTTAAGTTGAATAAAAATAATGATGAATTATGATGTATAAAGCTTTAGAGTTAAAATCAAACTGACCTAAATGTGGGTTATGATAATTTTTTTTCATTTGAATTTAAATAAGGAAAAAACTGAATATTAAGGTGTAATTTAAAATTCAATTATATTGAATTTTAAAAGGAACAAATGAATATAATTAAAAAATTATTTAAAACATTTTTAGTTGTTACAAAGTAGATAAGAGAAACACCATCAAACCATATAAACTGATGTAAAAGCAAATAGTTAAGCAATTAGAAAGACGTTTAATTATTCTCTCTAAAGGCAGTGTAGAATCTTGATGAAAGGTGAAAAGTTTCCGATTAGATTCCCTAAGCAAATAAAATGTTAATTCGTTAGCATAGAAGGCAATGAATTGCTTCCTATTTCAGGATGCCTCGTGTCGCTTTGTTGCCATATTACCGAACTAGAATGGATTCGCCTTCTAGATCGCCCGTTTGCTCGCCGGCTAGCAGTCCAAGAGCTGGAAATTCTTCACGAAGTGCTAGTCCTTTATCGCCAAGATCGCCTATACCGCCTTCGAATAGACACAGCGCGTTCTCACTAGTCTGTCCGAGAGATTTTCATCCCAAGAATTACTGGTCAATGAGAGGTAACAAAATTTAAAATTTAAAATCATCATTTTAACCCCTTTTTTTAACATTTTAGAAATGGGAGCTTTCATGTACGCAAATCCTTTATTACCCCAAACATATCCCCCGTATTTATGGCCCCACATCCCAGGAATATTTCTACCTTACTCCCCAATTCAACGCCCCCCAGAAGCAGCTAGCCCCGAAAGAGTAACTTCAGTCGATCCTGGAGTAACCCCGGAAAAAGCAAAAACAGGTTCATATCTCAACTGAATCAAAATTCAAAATATTAATAATAAATTTTATTAGATGATGAAGGCCCGCTAAATCTCTCGATGAAAGGAAGATCTCGCGCCCACAGCATATGGTCACCAGGTAGTCTTTGCGAGCAAGAAATGAAAATGGAAATAAAACCGGATTCAAGCATAGAGACCGCGGTAAAAATGACCAACTTAATAGAAAATAGATGGAGATGGGAAAATCAAGAAAAAGACGTCCAAACCAAAGCACCGACGATAGGGCCAAGTGGAGAAAAGACATTTACGGTAAGTTAGTAGTTAATTGTGTGTTGATCTTAAAAAAATAATGCCGTAACGAGTATGTAAAGTAGATAATAACGAGTGCCACGCAATAAAATCATAAAACAAACGTCATTCGGTAAACAAAAAGGCAAGAAATGAAGTTCGATAATTATATGTATTTACCAATTATGATATCGTGTGCCGCAACAGTACGGAAACGACCAAATGTTGACATCTCGTGTTTCCGGCGGCGCAGGAAAAACAGGATAACGAGGCGCGGTGTGGAAAGCAACCAAAGTATGTTTTCCATTAATATTTCAAAAATGATGGCGTGACACTAGGCCTTCTTCTTTAAGTGGGGCTCGGCGAACGTCGTTGTCGCGAAGAAAAACGGAAACGCAAATGAGGCTTTCGTAATTATGGAATAATTAAGCCGCCCTTCTTCTGCCGTACGGAGCACTATCGTCAATAATTCCCTAAAGTAATTAGTTTAAGGCTGGCTTTTCCGATTCGGCGGAAAAACCGAACGCACCGTTAAAGAGTTTTCCTAGTTTCTCCGACGTAAAATATTCAGTTATTAATTAAAAATAACCGCGGCGAACCGACTGTGCGATTTCACACGGGCCAGTTTTCTGTTTTCCACTTCGAACTCAGATCTAAAATTGATTTCGTCAAAACGACCCCTCGTCAAATATTTATTCGTTGAACGTGTACTTACATTAAAAATTTATTATCCGTCTGCTGGTTTCATTGGATTCATTTTGCTGTTTTTCAAATCAGATTTGCAAATTATACTGAAAATTACTTATACATATTTTACGAATCTTTTGTCATATGAATTATGTAGTAGTGTATTAAAATATTTTAGTCACTAGATGTAGAACACAAAAAAAATTATTTATCTCATTTATTTATCAAAAATTGTTTGTGTCGTATAATACAACGTTTTTACTTAGTTCTCATCGTTTTCTTCTTTTCGAAGATATATATCGTCCTTTATCTTCCATTTGTGATATAAATCACTTTTTAATTACAACAAATAAAGTCAAGGCGATTTTTTAAATTTTTGCATCTTCGAATGTGAGTTAACCTAACTTATTTTTTTGGCAATCTTTTTCTACAAATATTTATTATTAACACAATTAGTTTTATATGAAATCTTAAAATATAATATTTTAGCTTCAATTTGCAATATAAATCGTTCTTTAACTCCAAAAAATAAAGTCAAGGCGATTTTTTAAATTTTTGCATGTTCGAATGTGAGTTAACCTAACTTATTTTTTTGACAATCTTTTTCTACAAATTTTTATTATTAACACAACTATTTTTATATCAAATCTTAAAATATAATATTTTAGCTTCAATTTGCGATATAAATCGTTCTTTAACTCCAAAAAATAAAGTCAAGGCGATTTTTTGAAATTTTGACGTTTTCGAACATAACCTAAATCAACTTAATTCCTTTTTGAAGAACTTTTCTCTGCAAAATTTTATTATTAACGCATCAATTTTTAAATCACATCATGAAATATCGTTCTTTATCTTCAATTTGTGATATAAATTATGTCTTAATTCCAACAAATAAAGTTATGGCGATTTTTTGAATTTTGACATGTTCGAATGTGATTTAACCAAACTTATTCCTTTAAAAACCTTTTTCTACAAATTTTTATTATTAACACAACTATTTTAATATCATATCTTAAAATACCATCTTTTAGCTGCAATTTGTGATATAAACCTCTCCTTAACTCTAACTTTTTGTTAAGAAATTATATTATACTTTAATATTTTGATTCAATGAAAGATTTAAGTTATATTGTGTTATAATAATTTCAGTGTCAACAATGTGGAAAATCATTCAAGCGTTCATCGACATTGTCAACACATCTGCTCATCCATTCGGACACGCGACCATACCCATGCCAGTTTTGCGGTAAAAGGTTCCACCAAAAATCCGATATGAAGAAGCACACGTACATTCACACCGGTAAGTGCCTTTCACACGATCAATATTTAATGCACCCCCAATTCGAGGGGATAGAAACATGCAAACCAAATCAACAACATAAAAAACTTTACGAATTAAAAAAAGAATTAAAAGTAAAAAATGATTAAAAGAAAATAAATGTTACAAACAAGTTATGACGTTGTACACTACTTCTTAATACAGTATATGATCGGTACGAATCTGGAAGTATGATGTTTTTGAAATAATTAATAATTCATAAGTGTCGTTGCGTGGATCGGACAAACAAGAAAATAATAAAAAAAAGGCACAACTCGGATAAAGTGAACTCGTTAAAATATTTAGAAGTCGGGCGTGAATATTTGATCGGGAGTCAATCAGTATCCTAGGTAAAGTTTCGGATTCAATAATTTATACGTCCAAGACGTCATTACCGTAATTTTAACGTGCTTTTTGTTCGTAGGACACGAATTATTGGGCAAAAGTCATTTTGTCAAATCTTTAAAACCTGTACCAAGTACATGAAAACTTTTGTGTAAAGTTGTGTAGCAAAAATAGATTCCTAACGGATATTAGAGTTCCTATAAAGTTTTATTTTCATTAAATATGAACTGGTACAGTACCGCTATAATCATGTTTAAATGTAGGACACTCTGTTGCTTTCTGAATTATATATGGACCAGGGTCATACAAATGTGACCGATACTTGAAAGTCATTGATATCACGCTGTGATATTCAAATCGCTTCCATTAACATTAATAATAATAAATTATTTAATAATTATAGCAATACTAATCATTTTTGAAATTTTCTTTCGTTTAAAATTTTTATTAGAATGAATTAATAAAAAGTTTGTAATAAAAAATGAAATTTATCTTGCGGTCGAGTACAAGGTAGTGGTTAAACCATGGAAAAGTAATGCGTCAAGGGTTTATTATCCCTTGACAAAAAGTGGAAAACGAAATCGAGTAATGGTCGAAACGCGAGATTGAGTATTCGTCAGTTGCGATCGAGTACACGACGCGACTTTGGTCTCTTCGGACAACTTACACGCGATCCCTTATTAGCGAGTTCACCCTTCCTCTATGAAATATTAACCGGACAACCGTGCCTGGTCTACCATTACGTTTGACGCTGATCGACGTTGCTCCCTCAGATTTATGATTCATCGACAATTAGCTCGATTGAGTACCACTTATCCACTACCACTCAGCAATTTTCAACGTTTCTACTCTCTTCCTTACGTACCAAATAAATAAAAACAAGTACCAAGAAACATTTCTTTTCTTACAAAAAAGACTCATTAGAATAATTATTCATCACTACATATTTGTTAATGACTAAATGATTGTCCACGGTTCGCTGAGCAGGAAATATGTTAAACAGTGGGTTGTTGGGAACCGACGGCTTCACCTTCCGGTTTTAGCACGTGCCGAGCACGCCCTTTATACGCGATAAAATACAAGCATTTCCTTACTTTATCATATTAGATAAATATGAGGGATGCCACTACTTTTGATAGGTTGATAGACTAATATTTCCGGTTATTACTATAATTAATATTCTTTCATTAATTTATTTAAGTTGAATTTATTATAAAACAAAAGCATCTTTAAAAAAGTCGCTTATGGGATATTGATGTTGATGTCGATTCTTTCTTTAATAGTTATTTCTTGGAAATTTCAATAATATTATCTTATAATTTTTATATCAAATCATAAAATAGAATCTATAAGCTTCAATTTAACATAGACATCATATTATAATTCTTAAAAACATAGGTGATATGATTTTTTGAAAATTTTCTTACATTTTTGATTCATAAATTTGGCAATTTCTTTAATAATTTTTTCCTAGAAATTTCAATAATGTTATCATATAATTTTTATATCATATCATAAGCTAGAATCTTTAAGCTTCAATTTAACACATATATCATATCATAATTCTTAAAAATATAGGAAATATGATTTTTTGAAAATGTTGTTACATTTTTGATTCATAAATTTGGTAATTTCTTCTTTAATATTTTTTTCCTCGAAATTTCAATAATATTATCAAATAATTTTTATGTCATATCATAAACTAGAAACTTTAAGCTTTAATTTAATACAGACATCATATCATAATTCTAAAAAATACAGACGATATCATTTTTTGAAAATTTCGTTATATTTTTGATTCATAAATTTGGCAATTTCTTTAATAATTTTTTCTTGGAAATTTCAATAATATTATCTTATAGTTTTTATATCATATCATAAACTAGAATCTTTAAGCTTCAATTCACCATACATATCTCATCATGGTTCTAAAAAATACAGACGATATCATTTTTTGAAAATTTCGTTATATTTTTGATTCATAAATTTGGCAATTTCTTTAATAATTTTTTCTTGGAAATTTCAATAATATTGTCATATAATTTTTATATTATATCATAAATTAGAATCTTTAAGCTTCAATTTAACATACATATCATATCATAATTCTTAAAAACACAGTTTTGATTCATAAATTTGGCAATTTCTGAAATCATTTTTTCCTGGAAATTTCAATAATGTTATCTTATAATTTTTATATCATGTCATAATCTAGAATCTTTAAGCTTCAATTTGAGATATATATCATATCATCCCTATTAACAATACAGATGATATGATTTTTTGAAAATTTTAAATTAAATCTTTCCAAGTTAAAATAATAATTTAATATTAAATCTTACTCATTATTAAAATATGCTATCACAAAAAAAAGAATCTTGTTTGTTTATAAAAATACGTTGCTTTGATTAATAATAGTGTACAATTCTTTTTCTAAGAATTTCTTCAATGTCACCGTAAAAGATAATAAGATACAAAAATGATATTTTTTTACCAATAACCTTCAATTCGAATGGTTTTTATAAAACATCTGAGAAGTTTTTGCGTAATATTTTACTGTCAGATACAAAAGACTTCACCTGATATTTAAATGTTTAAAGCAAAAAAATATCAACTTCCTCCACAACAATCTCTCACTTAAATTTATTACGAAAAAACGCGTAATTGTACCTTAATTATACGCCACAAGTATCATATGTTAATAAACCTAAACGTGCATACACGGATTCATTTTTACATAAAAAAAGTATATTAAGTATATTAAAAAGCCATTTTCAGCTGTCTGGTAAATGATAAAAAAAACTTGGGAGTGGAAAAAAGAATACGCGAAGCTTTCAAACCAAGTAGTATATGTCCGGCCGCAAAAAGCCTTATGACCGGTATATATCATATCAGGCCATTACAATCTCGCCAGCCGAGTGTTAATAATTGTTTATCCGTCCAGTCGTTTTTTATCTCACGAAATCTGTGGCCAGTCCGAACGGGTTCGATGTTTTGATTTAAATCGCACCAATTAGTACTCAAGAGCAGATGGTTGTGACATCGATTGAGATGTCTCGCCGCTTTCAGTTTAATTGAGACTAGCAACGCGGACGAGAAACTCTCGATTTATTAGAATCGACTTAATTGCCTTTTTAATTTCGGGTTAAAATCAAATTTTTGTTAAATATTTCCAAGTGAACGTCACCAGGAGGTTTCACCTTTAGTGAATGTCCAACGTGCGTTAGAAGTGATTAATAGAGGTCCAAGTTAACTCAAGTTAACTTTCTCCGCTTCCTGTATGCGATAAGAAGAAGGACTAATAAAGATAGACATTTAGAAAAATCACGTTTAATAAACTGCTTTAACTTTCGAATGTGACATTCTAATTTTATAAACATTTTTGTAACATGTAGATAAAGTTTATTTCGATTATACAATGCATTATATGAATTGAAATTTTTATGAGTAATTACTTGAAAACTGGAGACCTGAAGTCGTTTTAATGTTTGCACAGTTATTTTCGTAATCAGTCAGCATTAACAAAAAAAATGATAAAAAAAGAAATCCTTCTTATTGATTCGAGAAATTCTCCTAATGGAACTAGCTGAATAATTGATTATAGTCGGTTGTCTTCGCCGAGCGCGTTGTTTGTTTTACGTCTCTTCGGCTTCTTATTGCCCCGTGTGCAACTCCTAATGAATTAAGACTTGTTATAACCGTATACCACGCGTCCTTACAATCGGAGAAATCGAAATAGCGATTCCGTTAAGTTATTGTCGCTTAACCACAATACTTATCCATCTCTAAACATCATAGGGTATTGAAGTTTCTTTAAACAAAAAAATTTCCCTCGACGTACCCGGAGGCCTCCTCCTCTTCTTTCTTCGTATTGAAATTAATAATGCGTACGTAAAAGCCTTTCAATTGAGCCATAACGTGGGCTCTCGTCATTTGTACCTGTCACGGTCGATGTATAAATTGCCTTCGACTTTTTTTTCGGACGGCGGCGATCCTCTTTTGCGCACATACGAACCGACGTCGTATTAAAAAAATATTCGCCAGTTTCCTGCCGACTACTCGCTGAATTTTCAGCTGGGGATTCAGAGGCGGACATCATCGGCAGCTGCCCGGGGTAGTAGCGCAATTATTGGCAATCATCGAACGGCGGAATTACGAATGGCACGGTAAACATGGCTTATTACCGAAGTGATTTATCGACACTTGTAATGAATGCGCACAGCGAGATGCACACACCGTGTCCAATATGGTTATGGAACGTAAGACCACATTATTTCTTTGGTGACTTTCATCTCTTTGATGATCATGTAAAATTTCACACAATTACCTAAACAAATAGGTACAGTTAAAGTTTTTATTATAAAAAAATATTTTTATACACTATACGCAAACAGAGTTAGCCCTGAAAATAACACGAAATTTTCAAAAAATCTTATTGATGGTATTTTTAAGAATTCTGATATGATATATATGTTAAACTGAAGCTTAAAGAGTCTAGTTTGTGAAATAATATAAAAACTATCAGATAATATTATTGAAATTAACAGGAAAAAATTATTAAAGAAGAAATTGCCAAATTTATCAATCAAAAATAACACAAATTTTCGAAAAAAACATATCGACTGTATTTTTAAGAATCATGATGAGATATGTATGGTGAATTGAAGCTTAAAGATTCTAGTTTACGATATGATATAAAAATTATATGATGATATTATTGAAATTTTCAGGAAAAAATTATTGAAGAAATTGCCAAATTTATGAATCAAAAATTTAAAGAAATTTTCAAAAAATCATATCAGCTGTATTGTTAAGTATTATGATATGATGTCTATGTTAAATTGAAGCTTAAAGATTCTAGTTTATGATATGATATAAAAATTATATGATAATATTATTGAAATTTCCAGGAAAAAATTATTAAAGAAATTGCCAAATTTATGAATCAAAAATATAACGAAATTTTCAAAAAATCATATCACCTGTATTTTTAAGAATTATGTTATGTTATATATGTTAAATTGAAGCTTGAAGATTCTAGTTTATGATATGATATAAAAATTATATGATAGTATTATTGAAATTTCCAGGAAAAAATTATTAAAGAAGAAATTAACAAACTTATAAATCACAAATAAAACAACATTTTCAAAAAATTACGTCGACTGTATTTTTAAGAATCATGATATGATATATATGTCAATTTATAGCTTAAAGATTCTAATTTATGATATGATAGAAAAACTATAAGATAATATTGTTTAAATTTCCATGAAAAAAATTATTAAATTCTTTAACTTCCTTATTAAATTCCAGTGTGTTGCTGACTTTTTGGGGAACATCGTATATAAATCCATGAATTATTACAACCTTATTATTCACATCTCTTTTAATTGGCATAAAGCAAATGTATTTATAAATTATACAGTCCTACTTAATTCAGGCAATGATTAATGTTAAAGATCTCTAAGATAGTATAAAACAAACTTACTGATTTACATGTAACTAATTCGACAGGTTAGTTTATACGTATAATAAATAATTCGATGATTACTTCATTCGTAATCTCCCCTTATAAGCAATTAAACGTTGTATAACATGGTGTTTATCTTTACACGAACACTAAAATAAACCGAAAAGGATTTAAAAGTTAATAACGTTTCTTTCGGTCTTGTTCGTTAATTTCGTTGCGTTCCAATGTGGAGTGAACGAAAGCAGGTTTTAACTCAGCGTGTGTACAGTTAACCCGACAATTTTCCCATTGCACTTCTAATCTCTTCGCGATTAACGTTAAGGAGTTTAACGATCAAGCCATATAAAAAACCGCCTCGGGGTCCGTTACCTTATTAATTAGGCCTTGTTTGGGACGTAATGCGATTAGGTGTTACGTGCAAGGACCGCTTCAAGGTGGGGTGGCGTTTGAAAATTGCATTTCCTGCCTTCCTGTAGCCATCAACACCGTTTTGACGACCGGTGCGAAGACTTAAAAGTTTTCAGAGCCTAGAGCGAAAGGACGATGGTTGGACGACGGATGGGAGGAAACCTGAATACGGACTTAACTCGAATTTAATTGGACTAGGCGTCTATTTATTTAGCCCGGTAGCCGTATAAAAGAGGATAAATAACGTTCTAAACATGGACGACTCATATTTACATAAGATAAAACAACTTTCGGATTACATGTACCATTAAAATGTAAAACGGTTTCATATTGGCGATTATGTAAATAATCCTCGTGAAATTTTCCACATAAATTATAAGGTATTTATTATTATTTGAATCCCACTTTTGACGTCATTGTAATATATCTTTGAATAAAAAATTATTGAGAAACTGGTTGTTAGTTTTAATGATGTACATTTTTTTTTTATTTCGTAAATTGAAAAATTTAAAAACAAATAATTAATTCATGTGTAAATAATCCTTGATTTATTTCCTAAATCATGTTTCTTACAATGAGTTACAACGCAGTCTTAAAGGTTGACAATCACCATCAATCTTATGAACGAGGTAAATCACACCTCAATTCCAAAACGTAAGAAACTAATAGAAAAATATGCAATAACATCTTACAATGAAGATACAATGATGTCTTTAGCACCTTTAAAGATGGTTCTTACAGTTTATGGCCGCTAATGTTGTAAAATCTCAATGGCAACTATAACCATATTTTAAACGTTTCTATGTATCTAAATTCATGTAGAAACGTTAGATAAATCCTAAAAAATTTGAAAGCAACTCATCTCGAGATAGAGACAAAAACAAGTCAATTTAATTTAACTCGATTTTCTCATTATAATTGATTAATTGGTCAACCTATTATATACACGTATATAATTTGCGTTACGACAATATAACAACACCTCAACCGACTTTTACCTTTTGTCTAATAAGTTTAATGGGATCTTAAACGATAAAATTTACAATGCAGATTTTCCGCTTCGTCAAAACTTTCTCTGGGGTTTAAAAAGCTCGCGTGAAAATCGATTGCACAATTAATAATGAGATTAAGTGACCGGTGCGGCATCACAACCCGAAGAGAGGAACCTTCGAGCGTCAATTTTAACGGATGTTGCAATTAATTTTCTTCCTCGCCGCTAAGCCAGAGGGTGTCCGACACGGCTCGTCTTCAGCCCGCATCATTCGTTTCGATCCGGTGTTGATCGCATCTGCACTCCACGTCCAATAATGTATGATCGATATTGCCTTCTTGTGGATACAAGTTCTTACTCCTAATTGACTGACTATTAAATATCTGACATCGTGTTTTTGGTGCTCGTTATAAATACTATCCATTAATAGATGTAAACGAGACGTTTGCAATCAATATATTTAAAAAAAAGTATTTGTTTTGCAGACATTAATCGTTTGTAAAATGACCAATTACCAGTTAAACCTTGACGAATCGTCAATCCAAATAATTCGAACAATCAAGAATTTGCATATCGCATAATCACCTGGTAACCGTCAATTTTGTAATCTACATCCTTAAACATACATAGTAAGTGTTAATAGCTTGGTAGACAAGCAAAGACTCGTAAAAATCAGAAATTTTCACCATACGTGTTAAATAAAGAGATTTTTTGGGGTTACTAGAAGATTAAAAAGTCATACAATCTTTATTTACAGAGATTTGGTGGTGATTTATATCTCAATTTAAAACTAAAACTATTCATTTTAACATAAACTATTACACCCTATTACAAAAAACTGATTTTATTACAAACAAGTTAATTTTTTACATTTTGAGAATTATATTGATGAATTATATCCCACATTATAGCTTAAATCATGTATTTTAAGATAAACTACCAGACCCTAGGTACTAAATAATCAGATTTCGTTGAAAACTGATTTTATTGCAACTAATTAATTTTTGACATTTTCAGGCTATCAGAAAATTAAAAAATTCGTACAATCTTTATTTATAGGAATTAGGTGATGATTTATAGCTCAAATTAAAGTTGAAACTATCTATTTTACAATAAGTCATCACAACTTATATGTTAATAATCAAATTTCCCAGAAAACTGATTTAATTGCAACAAGTTAATTTTTGATATTTTGAGGTTATTAGAAAATGAAAAAATCGTACAACCTTTACTTACAGGAAGTAATTAATGACTTATATCTCAAATTAAAGCCTAAATCCTCTATTTTAAGATAAACTAACAGAACGTAGGTGCTAAATAATCAAATTTTCTAGAAAACTGATTTTATTGCAACTAATTATTTTTTACATTTGAGGTTACTAGAAAATTAAAAAATTCATACAATCTTTATTTACAGGGATTAGGTGGTCACTTATATCTCAAATTAAAGCTAAAACTATCTATTTTAAGATAGACTATCACACACTACTTGTTAAATAGTCACATTTTCCACAAAACTAATTTTATTATAAACAAGTTAATTTTTCACATTTTGAGGTTATTGGAAAATGAAAAAAATCGTACAACCTTTACTTGCAGGAATTAAGTGATGAATTATATCTCAAATTAAATGTTAAGTAATGTATTTTAAGATAAACTACCAGACCTGAGTTACTAAATTATCAGATTTCTTAGAAAACTGATTTTATTGCAACTAATTAATATTTGACATTTTGAGGTTACTAGAAAATTAAAAAATTCGTACAATCTTTATTTATAGGAATTAGGTGATGATTTATAGCTCAAATTAAAGCTGAAACTATCTATTTTACAATAAATCATCACAACTTAGATGTTAATAATCAAATTTCCCAGAAAACTGATTTAATTGTATCTAATTAATTTTTGACATTTTACGATATTATTTATGCGAATTAATTGATGATTTATATCTCAAATTAAAGATAAAAACATGAATTTTAAGATAAACTATCACACCGCAGGTACTAATTAATCAGATATCCTACAAAACAGATTTTATTGTAACTACTTAATTTTTGACATGTTGGTTAATGGAAAATTCAAAAATTCGTAAAATTATACATAGATACTTTAGTCCTTAATCCATTAGCAGATGTAAACAAGACGTTTTAAATCAATATATATTTTAAACATTTTTATCTGTTTCGCAGCCATTAATTGTTTGTAAAACGACCAATTACCAGTTAAACGTTGACGATTCGTCGCTCCAAAGATTCGAACAATCAACAATTTACATACGCATAATCGCTTGGTAACCGCCAATTATGTAATCTACACCCATAAACAAACGTAACGAGTGTTAATAGCTTAGTAGACAAGAAAGACTCGTAAAAATCTTGACAATAACTACAGGTATTATCTCATTTTGATTGACACACAGTGGACAAGCATTTTTTCAAGCTTCTAAACCATTATATTTGACACACTTTTTGTTGTTCGTATGATGAATTTACGATCGAAGCTTGAATACGAACCATTACCTAATCTAAACCTTTGTAATTCATCCATCTCCATCATTGCATTCTTATTTTTTATGTTTAAACGACACATACAAATTTATTTATTTATTTATTTTTGTTGTTACAGGTGAGAAGCCACATAAATGTGTGGTTTGTTCGAAGGCATTCAGTCAATCTTCGAATTTAATCACACATATGAGGAAACATACCGGTTACAAGCCTTTCTCGTGCGGACTTTGCGACAAAGCGTTTCAAAGAAAAGTCGATCTAAGACGTCATCGAGAATCTCAGCATCCAACGGCTTCAGATACGGTAATAACAACGCTTTATAATCCGAACGAGTTAAAACATGAGATCGAAATGAAACAGGAGGTAACAAGTAGTAGTTAAGATTATTAAAATAAAAGCTTCTTCAATTCCCGTGTTGAAGTGCCATCGTATCAAAACAAATTGCCATTGTTTTTAACACGTTAATAAAAAAATGACAAAAAAATGTTTGTGCCGTCCATTAAGTGCCTATTATACAGTATCCGTCCAAAAAAAATTATTGAACAAAATTATTGTGTAAAAGAGTGTACAGTAGTCATTTAAACTAGTTAAATTTGTAAAGGTAAAGTCTATTTTGTTATCCCCGCCCGGATTAACTTGTTTAAAAAAAATATTTTATCTGGATCATTGCTAGTGATAATAGTTGTAAATAATAATTGAAACGTTTTTTTTTCTTGGGATAGAGGGCCAGTTCTAGTCTATAAATAAACAGCGTCACTGTTTTTATTTTGTTAAGTTCGTGACACACGTCGAGATGTTACCGAAAAAAAGGTGCAAATAGATATACAAAAAAATCAAAATTTTGTATTTTCGATGTAAATCAAAAAAATTAATTGAAATCTAAATATTATTAGAGTGTTCAAATTATGTTTTTATTGTTACTTGGTTCCTTTTAGTTCTCTGTAAAGCAAACTAAATTAACATTAAGCCAAGGTCGTTTTCGGCCGAGGCGCTACATTGATTTAAGTCAATATAAACCTTGACTATATTGATACAAACACCTGGTGCCAGCACTTTTTGGATCTTCTATCAATCCCATAGATACCTCTGAACCTATTCCATATATTTCAGCAAATTTTTCAATTATTCCAAGAACCGTAAAGTTAGTTTCTAGTCAGAACAACGCCAAAGCTGGTATCCAGTTACCGCTTTCATTTGATTGTAGTATTTTCATGAAGTTCGACATTATAAGATAACTTTCAAGATTTTGAGGTTATTGGAAAATTCAAAAATTCGTATAATCTTTATTTACAGGAATTTATTAATAACTAATATCTCAAATTAAAGATAAAACCTTCAACTTTAAGATAGATTAACACACTCCAAATAAAAATAAACAGATTTCCTAGAAAACTGATTTTATTAGAACCAACTCATTTTTGACGTTTTGAGGTTATTGAAAAATTAAAAAAATCGTATAATCTTCATTTAGAGGAATTAAGTGATGGTTTATATCTCAAATCAAAGGTGAAACTATCTATTTTAAGATATATCATCACTACTCAGATGTTAATAATCAAATTTCCAAGAAAATAAATTTTAAACTAAATAATTTATTTTTTTGGATTTTTTAAAAATATATATTAATATCTTGAGAACGATTAATAATTTAATCTAACTTATTAAAAATGATTTGTTTTATGGAGAATTAAAATGAAAATATTGAGTAACAAAAATGATATAGAACAGTTTTATTATTGTAAAAAGAAATCTTGCACTGTGTATAAATGTTTGCACTTTTTATTTTCCCCCCGGAGTTTTGTTGAAGAGCTTTCGAGAACGAATCGCACCTCGCGAAAGCTTTTAACAAAACTTTCATGCAGCTTGTAAAACCAAAGATACGTAATTCTAAGTTTTGCTGTTCATTTCGCCATTAGATTAAGTTAATTAAAAAAAATCGACGATTGTAAAACTCTAAAAAGAGTTTTATTAAAAAAAAATACGTACTGTTGTAAAAATTTTTGTGGTGAAACCAAAATTTTAAAATATTTGTAACATATTGTACGCTTTTCTTTGAAAATCTATGTTAATAAATGAGTAATAAATAAAAAATCAGTTCTTTTAATTTATGTTTTTGTGGTTTAAATTTTTTTCTTAAATTTCATCCGGGTATAATTGAGGTAAGTGTGTTATTTATTATTGAAACGAAACGTTGTGTATTTATTGTGTGTTAAGGTCATATAAAAGAGTTTTGTTTTTATTGGTACAATTTAAAATCGATGCGGGTCATTATTAATTTACACAAAAAAACTAACGGTATAATAAATCATTCTCATTTCTTTACATTAAATTTAAAATCAACACATTATATTTCATCGAAACGATTTAAATTTAATCTCAAAGTTTACCTGAATACAATTGAAAAAAATATTAAAAATAACCTGGTCTTAATTAAGTGGTACTTTGGTTGTGGTTCGAGCCACGCGCGACCTTAAAAATAAAATTGCGTCCAAGAGTCGTTAAGGAATTCAATTTGCTCGCAACGCGACGGAAATATTGGTGATTTTTTTTCTTGAGACCCAACCATAATGTATAACTCTTTCGGTGACGGAAAAATTGATTAAAATTTATTTACGCGACGGACTTCGTACGCGTATAAATTTTATACCAGAAGGGCTCTCAACCTCGACCGCATTCATTCGAGTTCCTCCAAGACTTCTTTCTCTCCCGACCGGAATTTATTCGACTTATTTATGTTTCTCAGTTGAGAATTATGGTGCTTTAAAGTGCCATCCATTATTTGGCCGAAACGCGCCGTCAATTTGTTGAGATATCGAATCGAACGTTATCTATTTCGAAATGATTCTTTTTATAAACGGTTAGATGAAAAACTATTGCGTGTAACATCGATTGTTGATTAATGGCAAGACCAAAAGCGGTGTTTCCCCCTGCTGGTAATTATAGCGTCAATCACGTCGAAATTTTTCATCTTCAATTTTTAAAGGTCAACGCGAACGAAAATAGTAATGAGAATATTGTGTCGATAAATTAATATTAAATGGAATATTAAATAGAAAATAAAATAGAACCAAGAAAAGGTCTTGGTCATAAATACATTTTATTGCAAAATCAATGATTACTTAATCTAAGAAAGCAGATTTTTTTTACAATCATGTATAAATGCAAAAGAAACAGTAGTTATTTACAGGGAAAAAAGTTGTGTTAAGAAGCTTCTCCGACCAAATACAGAAAACAATATCATCCATCAAAATCAGACCAACGGGAGACAAAAAGTTGGCCATAATTATAGAAAATTCAGCGGACGTCTTGTCGCGCCGGCAATTCTCTTGACTCAATTTGGGAAAAGTAATAAACCCGACCGAGGACAATTGCGTCTTTTCTTCTCCGTCCGTTTCCGATTGCCGACCGTCTGGCAGAGCGCTGCTTGTTCATCTCAGAATTACTCCTCGTTCTCGTCTTCTTCTCATCTCATCTCATCTCCTTCTTGCGCTTCTTCTGCTTTTGGCACCCAGCACGAGCCCCGTTCCGAACCGCTGCAGAGGACAGGTGCTTCGAACCCGTCGGCTTCCTCTGCATTTCCGAAAGCGGGCACACATTTCTGCAGCGTACGCCGAACGTACACACAAATCTTATCTGGTCAAATTGATTGACCGGACAGATGTTAATTTCTTTGTATGTGTACGGGGAGAGCATTGCGGCGAAATTTTTTCACTGTTTTCACCGAAAAAGATGGACCGGATCACAGCTGAATAAGGCCAAATTGGGAACATTCTTATGTAATCGATTGTAACAGTTTTTCAACGGAGACGATTTAGATACATATTTATCAAGAATAAAATATAATTTAAAGGAATTAACTTCTTCCATTAGTTTTGATATGGTGATGTACAAAAGTATTTTAGCCGTAGTTATTTCCATCATTTAACTTTATCCTTAAATGTTTCCAAAAAATATGTAAGTATTTTGTAACGTTTCTTTTTTAATTTGGACGCTTCCCATATGTTTCAATTACCAATACTAATAATTCTTAAACATTTTCTCGGAGGTGGTCAAACTCCTAAGGGAAAATGCTTTAATTTAGTTAAATCTGTTCGAAAAGAAATACACTTGATGTGCTGAATGCAGTGATTACGTGCAAAACGGCACTGAAAACGTTCAAAATTAGGCGGCACCGTCCTGTAATTACAAACGGGTCAGTTGTTTAACGTGGTAAATTTTCATAATCGATTCGAATATAATTGATGCGGTCACGGGCGGATATTTAACGTCAATTTGCATTCTTGCCCGGTTGAAATTTTCGGCGATAATGCTCGGAAAAATATTCCATGGCGATCTTGTATGCGCATAAAATTGACCACCAATCTTTTTTTTTCTGTAACGAATCGCTTTTTCTTAATAATCATTAATTGGTTACACTTGCCACACGACGTTGTCGTCATGAGCGTAATTACTTAAGTTTTTGCTTCAAGGCAAGCTTAAATAAAATTATGTTTTCGGCAAAAGATAAATCTTTGTAAATTTCCTCGAAAATCGTTAAAGATGGTTCTTTAAATCTTTTTTTATTCTTCATAAATATAAAGAATGCAACATTCACTATTATAAATTTTTATAATTTAATTTAATGAAAGAAAATTACAGTAAGTAGAGCAGTTTGATTGTTGCTTAACCAGATTGTCCTTGATACTAATAGAAACATAGAAGAATTATATAATGCAGATGTAAAAGTAGAAATGGAAGAGTACATATTGCTGACAAAAGGCAAAATACTACTGGCAGAAGACCAAATACTGCTCAGAGAAGATTAGATACTGCTTGCAGAAGACTATATACTGACAAAAATTTTTTACTGCTAATACAGGTTTAGATACTGTTTACAGAAGAGTATATACTTCGGGGAGAAGACTAAATACTATTCGCAGAAGAATAGATACTGCCATTTAAGGACTAGAAACAGGTTTCAGAATACTAGATGCTGATTTTAGAAGACTAGATACTGCTTGCAGAAAACTAGATACTGCTGAAGACTTTCAATTGCTAAAAAAAGTATAAATACTGTTTATAGATACAGCTTTTAGACCCCTAGATACTGTTTGCAGAAGACTATATACATGTAAGGACTTTCTGCAGCTAATAGAAGTGTAGATATTGCTTATAGAAAGGCTTAATAAATTATAGGTGATTACATTGTAATATTGTTGCTGTAATTTAAAAAAAACTTTGCCTTAATTATTTTTGTATAATATGTAACATCTTTTAAATTTGTACTGTTGAATATATTACCTGAAGAGAAACAGAAACATACATATTGTTAATTAAACGGGTAAATAAATTTGGTTGCCATTCGTACGAAGTCTTCTTCGTTCAGCTATAACTAAATATTGAACGTAGCCTGGAAGTAGCAACCAAATTGCGGTCATTAATTAACTCGGGTGCACGTAAGGGAATAAATTGATATCGAAGTGGGTTTTATCACGCACCGCTGGCATCGTTGAACCGCTGCAATTCGCGCCGAAGACAGTTTTATTAAACGGGGCGAAACGGAGGAGAGTTCCCAAAAGAACACCGTCGCCTTTCTGTGCACTGAATTATTGGGAGAATGTTAACGCACCTTTCCGGACTCCAATTCTTATTTGTCATCTCTTTCATCTTAAAAGCTAAACCAAAAGTAATGTTACATTATGGACAATTTAAACAAATTTTAATCTTTTTTATTACTATAAGTGTATGTAGAAACGGTTATAAAAGTAATATATTGTTATAAAAAAAAGGTAATTTGTTAATGTTTAGTAAAAACCAGGCGTTTAAGCGGGTTGTTTACAGTTAAATAAGCGACCATTTCTTGCATCCATGCCGGTCATGCGGGGACAAATGCGGCCAATTGTGGTTTGGTTCGACCGTTATGAAGTGTCGGTTAAGGCTATTTTGGCATTACTGTCATTTTAATGCGCTTATTGGAATAATATTTATAAAATACGATTCGATTCGGAAACCGAAGTGCAGGTGCTGGCGGACTTTTGCGATGCCAATTGCGGTCATAGATATTGAAATAAAAACGGTAGCCGTTCGATATTATACCTAATGGGATCTTTTACCAGGTGTTGCGAAGAAGAATCGTTTAAAGTATTCTGTTTTAAAGAGGAAGCTAATTTAATAAATATTTAATCGATATCAAATACATTTCCTTTCTCTTTTCGTTCTTATTGTTAGTGAAATATTTGTTTGGTATAAAAGTGATCCACAAAGATTTTTTTGGATGGACAAAGATAATGAAGTATTCCGTCTGTTTGGAACGTGGACAAAAAGCACCTCTTTTCGGAAAGATTTCAATTAACGGGAAGAGACCGGACAGACATTTTATCGCTCGCCCTTCCGGGAATTTGGTCCTGCGGCGAAATTTTTGGGCCCGGGCCACACATACGTTCAATTGGTATAAATAAATCGCCGAGGTATTGCGAGCACTGGTGGCCTTCCGTGAGCCTATGTCAGAAATGCAGCCCAACCGCCGCCACCACTAAACCCGCCTCCTCCTTTCTTCT